CCCCGCCCCTCTGCTCTGTTAGCGCCCCCTACCGAGCGGGCTCCGGCACTGCTGCTGCAGTATTTTGGGGTCCTCATGGGGATTTTGGAGGCGGTTTGGGGTGTTTGGGAGTGTTTCGGGCGGGGTGGATGTTCTTGCCTGGACCGTGCGTGGGAAGACGCCCCCGCAGCGATGTCCGGGCGGTGCCGCCCCCGTGGTGCCCGGTCCTGGCCGGTGCCAGGGCAGGGATGGGTGGGGGCACGGATTGGGCTGGGGACACGCTGAACCTTTTCCCTTTGCAGCATCTCGCCCTGCCCTCGCCCGCAGCCCTCGGCTCTGTGCCTGTGCCGGACAGGGGCGGGTGGCGAGGCCTGGGGGGCGGCGCTGCCCGAGTCCCCGGTGCTTGGGACGGCTCGGGGGCTCCGTTCCGTCCGCCTGCACGGGGCGGGACAGTCCCCCGGCCCGACCAGCGCAGCCCTGGGTCTGAGCACGTTTTTCCGTGTGTCACTGAAACACTGCAGAGACAAGTTCTGGGTTCGGGAGGAAGGGGAGGGTTTTACTGGCCAGCTTTGAGTGGGAGATTGCTCAGGTAGGAGTTACCAGGTAGAGTAGGGAGCAGACATATATATCAGTAGGAATTATTATGGGCCATGAGTTGTGGGCTCGGGACAAAGTGGAGTCCTGGCAGAGCTGGAGGTCCTTGCACGGCCCAGGACCGTCTAGTGCAGGGTCTGCTGTGTGGGATCCACAGGGGTCTCACCTGGAGCACCCTCCCCGAGGGAGACACTGTCACATCCTGCTGGGCTCCACGTTTGTCTGAGACACCGAGTGACACTCGCCTGGAACAGGCAAATACAAGTGTAATTTAATTACCTTCTGCTCCGTGCTGCTCGCCCAAGTGGGCTTTCCAAAGGCAATTTGTAATTGTTTCTTAGCACTTGTAAGATGTGGATTTAAGGCATGATTTTGTTTGTCTGGAAAATATTGAAGACTTCGACTGTGTAAATATTTGACTGCTTCCTCAGGGGGAGCCAGGCTGTGATGCCATTGACTCCTGCTCGGCAGCCACGGAGGTCGTGGGTGCACGGGGCTTGCAGAGGGAAGAGCTGCTCCCTTTGGGCACGTCCTCCAGCCACAGGTGCTGCCCCTGCTAACTGCAGGTCACCATGCTGACAGATGACACTCACCACTGCAAGGCCTCAGGGGTGTTCCTGCCCCTGTCCTGGGCTGGACAACATCCACTCCAACTGTTGGACACCTGCATGGAGCTGACCCCTTGCCCTTCTGTGTACCCCTCCTGTTCCCATTCCATCCCAGCGGGATCCAGCTCCTGGCTAGAACACCCACCTGTCCCTCACCTTCGTCCTTCAGGCCGTTCCTCAGGCTGTTGCTGAGAGATCAGACCACAGCTCACCCTGAGGGCCACGTGGTGCTGCCCAAAGGCACAGGCACTGTCCTGCTACGATGGTGCCCACCTTAAAATCACTGTGCATGGAGGGAAGGGGAGATGGGGCAGGGTATGTTCCCATCAAATAACCCTCCTCCCTCCATGAGTGGCCTCCTGTGAGCCTGGGAGCAGATCCTTCACCGCACTGTACTGTGTGACTGCACGGGCCTTGCGCTGTGTGCCCGGGGAGCTGCTGGGGGGTCTCACCCTGTGCTCAGCCTCAGGCAGGGAGCTGCAGCTGCTCTCCAGCAGCAGCACTTTCCCCACAGATCAGCTGTACCAAACCAAACCTGTGGCGCAGCAGGACACACAGCAGCCTTTGCTCAGGTGTTGTCATCGCGGGCAAGGGGAAAGGTGTCACCAGAAGAGGTGTCACCCCTGTCCATCAGACCTGTGGGAATAAAGATGTTGGCATTTATATTCTGCACAATGGAAACCCGTGTGGTGGGTTGTGTGGGTTGGGGCTGGGCCCAGGGGGGCCGTGTGGCATCCATGGGGACAGCAGCCCCAATGTTGGCTGTGGTGGGCAGGGCGTTATCACCAAGAGGGACATTGGCAACCACAGGTGTGGCCTCCTGATGCTGCCACCATTGCCATGATGGTCGGTCCTGCAGAGCTCAGGCACCTTTCTGTGTCTCACGGAATCAGAATTGGTGTGGTCTGAGTGAGGAGGGACCTCGGAGATCACCTAATTCCAACATAGTGGAAGGTGTCCCTACCTATGGTAGAGGGCTGGCATGAGGTGGCCTTTAAGGTCCCTTCTGAGCCAAACCATTCTGCGATTCTACAAATGTCTTCTGCTCATAGTATCCCATCTACAGCTTATTTTGCTGGGGACCAAGAACAGGATCCAGTCCTTTTTGGACTACAGGATTGCTCTCATGGATGAAGCCAAAGGCTTCATGCAGGAAAACCTCATTTTCCAAGGGATATTTGAGAAATCCACCTTGCAACCATTATCAAATGCAGAGGATTGTGTTGTCCAAAACAATCAGCTTCTCACCTTCAGGAACAGGTGAGGCCCTGGCCACCACAGCTGTGAGCTGGAGCCACCACTGTGCTCCTCTGTTTGGCACTGGAGGGCTCTGCTCTGTCCTCTGCCCTGCATCATGTACCTGCTGACCCACAGTATAAACCCTGTGTGCTAAGCAAACCCACACAGGTGAGGGGCTGGGTTAGTTCCTGCAGCCCAGAGAGGGTATTCATAGTGTCTGAGTGCAGGGTCAGGTGCCCTGGGACCTGGCCAGTTCATTCCAGGTTGCTGAGACACCACCACCCAGGGCAGTTTTGGGTGTCAGGTTTTGCTCCCCTTACGGGGGCTGGGTGCACAGTGGATTGTTCTGTTTGGTTAGAAACTTCACCTTGACTCCTCTCTGGCTCTCAAATCTGTGTACAGGGGGTGGGAGAAGACTCTGTGAGATTGGTGCTGCTGGAAGGATGTCAGGATGTGTGGTCATGATGCACCCACCTGGTCCTCCTGGAGCAGGAAAGTCAGGTGTACTAGCTGGGGAGCACTCTGAGCACCTCAGTCCCATGGTTCCTCAATCAGGATTCCAAACCTGGCTCCCTTTAAGCGGTTCCTGCATGGTCCCAGCATTGATTTTCCTTCTGAAGGCTGGAACTTGCATTCCCTTAGAGGTGTTGGCTGTGAAATCAAAGAAAGTAGTGTTTTTCAGCAAAGCAGGATGTTCAGGAGTCTCAATTCTTCAATCATGTCTGTCCCACCTGGGTTTTGGAACAGTCATAGTGTGGTGAGAGCTGCATGCCTGCCCTGCTCTGCCCTGTTCCTCCTTGGAGGCTGAGCTCCCAGGAGTGTTTCCATGGCTGCTTCAGCTCCCCCACCCAGCCCCCATCACAGATGTGTCCGGGGGGCTCTCCTTTCCCACAGGTGACACTTGGCATGCTGACCATCCCCCAGCATGGCCTTACTCTCACTGGGGGGCCTGGGCGGGCTCCAGCAGCACCAGCAGGGTAGATGGTGCTGCCACAGCCCCCGGAGCATCTTCTGCACCATTCTCTGACGAGGATGGGCATTCTCACCGTCCTCTCTGTTGTTTCTTCAGAGCCACATGGGGAAGCTCTGATAGCTCAGGGATGTGGACCCTTTTCAGACCAACTTCAGTGGCACCTCAATAAATAAGAAGTGGTTTGGAAAACAGCTGTTAATGTCTCCCTCTTTCCCCCCGAAGCAGCTGCTGGGGTAATTTACATGCGAGCAGGTCCTTAGAGGAAACACACTCCAGGCAGGACCTGCTGGGCCCCAGCCTGAGCTCTGGACAAATCCCCCATCCTGGGCCATGATTTACCTGGGGATCACTTGCTTTGGAGCTGCTTTGTCGGTGACTACCTTTGTGCAGAAAGGGCCAGGGATGGACAGCATGTCCTGTTTGGGTCTCTCCAGCAGCTGGCCAGCAATGCCCCTGTGGCAGTGGCCAGCAGGAGTCTGGAGAACAGAGGGGATCCTCCTGCTCTGCTCAGCACTGCTGAGGCCATACCTGGGGTGCCATATCCACCTCTGGGCTCCCCTGTTCCAGAGACATGGGCACACTGCTGAGTTCAGCGAGGGTGCAGCAGGGACTGGAGCATCACTCCTGCACAGAACAGCAGGTGGAAATGGGATGGCTCATCCTGGAGCAGGGAAGACTCAGGGGCACTTTATCCACATCTATAAACATCTGAGGGGGAGGTGCCAAATGCCACAGCCACACAGAAATTACAGGAGGTGCTCTCTGAACGTTGGGAAACACCACTTCACTGTGAGTTCCTGTGACCAGAGACACTCCAGTCACCTGGACATGGTCCTGAGCACCTGGCTTTGGGTGGCCCTGCTTGACGGGACAGGCAGACTGGACAAAAGGACACTCCAGAGGTCCCTTCCAACCTCAACCATTCCTATTGATTACCTGGAACCTGCAATTCCCGCAGCAGTAATTAACCTCTCTCCAGGACACAGAGGAGTTTGTGTCACTGGCAATGACAAGATGGGTTGTTAAAGTGCATGTGATACCCTTAAATCCCAAGAGGATATACCAAATACTGTCTGAAGCAAAGCCACCTCAAAGAGGATTGATCCTGACATTCTGTGCTTCCATTTCACACACCTTTTCACTCTTGGAGGCAATCCTCTGTTTCTCACGAGCCTGACTCCCACAGCCTTCCTAAGTAAACACCTGCCACAAGGCTGATACCCCAGGTGAGCGAAAATTCAGAGAAACCAGTCCAGAATCTCTTTCCCCAGGACTGTGAATCCACAGCTGTGGCCTCACACTCATCACCCCCCTGCAGTGACATCACTTCAGACTCACAGAACTCTCCCTTCCCCAGGCAAGCAGCCAGGATAGGAGAAGTAGCAGAAACAGTGTGAAGTATCTTTACACTTTTTGAACACAGGATTACAAAGACACTCCAGGGAAACCGTAAGGTTTGTGTAGGTTACCCTCTTTGTCTCTTTCTGTGCTTCCTACCTCCACCTGTGAGGGACCATGAGTCACACCAGGTGTCAGGCAGGACCTGCAAGTTCAACCCGTGCCCTTTTGATCCAGCACAACATAATGCTCCCCTCCCAGAGACAGACTGGAAAAAAAGAAAACGCTTTATTACAGTTTTTTCTACATATATAGAAAAAAGCAGCATTGTAATGAAGCAAACATCTCCATCCTGGTGCTGGACCCAACTCCAGCAGACAAAGCCATCCCCATAACACTCTGAGGGAGGGCCCTCTTGGGCTTCTCAGTTCATTTTCTTGCGCTTCCGCTGTCCTACCGGCGCCTTCTGCACGGGCAAGGGCAGGGAGAGAGTGCCCAGCTTGTGGTTCTGGTCGCTCTCCAGCCCCGGCACCCCTTTGGCCTTGGACACCTTCAGCCGCAGGGCCTTGGCGATGTCCAGGATCCTGGAAAACAATGGAGGAACAGCATGGGTGGGGCTGCTGAGCCTCCTGTGCTGACACTGCATCCATCTGCGGCCTCCTCCCCCGGGGGAGAGGCCCAGAGCATCTCTGCAGTGGAGGAATGCCATGGAAGCAGCAGCTGACAGTGCCAGGGCTGCCAGCCAGAGCCTTCCTGGGGACAGAGTGCTACTGATTTTTCCAGCAGGTCTCAGCCTCCTCCACCCTTTTCCCTACAGCATCCTAGGCCCCATGATCCCAGCTCCAGGGCAGCACAGACTAACTAAACCTGGGCACCAACTGCCAAAACCAACATGGATTCCTGAAAAAGCTTAGTTACAGAAAGAAAAAAAAAATGGATGGAACCAAACAGCAAACATTGCTATGACACCTACTACTACCTGTCAAAGAATAAAGAGCAAAAACAGAAGGGATGCCATGAAGGCTGACAAGAGAGCTGAAAACGAAGCAGTGATCAAAGGCTCTGATAAGGTCCAATAATAACAAGTTTTCAGCCACAAATCCCAGTTCCAATCAATCCTGTGGGGCCAGGGACAGACAAGTCCTGCCCTGATCCGAGGAGCAGCCAGCACCTGCAGGGAAATGCAGGTCCTGAACCTACAAACGCCCGTGGAAAACTAAATCCTGACCCAGATGCCAGAGTAGTTTCAGGGCTCTCCCAGGGTCTCCCTGTAGGAGGATCCCAGCAGGTGTGAACACAAGGATGGCTCACCTGCTCTCCTGGAGCTTCATGTCGTTCTGCAGGACGGTGAGGTCCGTCTGGAAGTTGTTGATGTGCAGAGCCAAGACAATGACGTAGGCGGTGATTTTAGCCTTCATGGAGGCAGAGACCAAATTCTGGACACTGTGTGGAAAAAGAGAGAACTCGTGAGATGTGGAGTGTAGGGGAGTTCCTGGTGGTGTGTCTGTGGACAATCAAGCTGAGCTCTGCCCTACCTGTGCCTCAAGAACCTCACACAGCATCCCCTTACCTGCCGTTGTTGTAGGTCAGTGAGGTGAAATTCTTCATGAGTTTCCTGCTGATAATGTGTGGGCATTCGGGACCCATTGGATCTAGAGCAGAGAGGGGTTTAGCAAAGGATGAGGAACACAACCCCACCCATCACAGCAGCACATGTATCACCCTGACTCTTATAACAGAATATCACAAAACATCCCATTTGGGAAGGGACCCACAAGGATACTTGTGTCCAACCCCAAGAATCCCACCATTTATTGCCTCTTCCCAGGAACACAGAGACCCTAAAAGAAGCTTGGGCCCTTGACTTCTAGGTCTCATAATTTTCAGGTCTGAGAGGCTCCTTAGAGCTTTTATTTTCTTTGTAAAAGGGGTCTCCCACTTCTACACTATACAATCTAAAACACACACATGCTTAAGTGTGTATTTCTTTTGCCACAAAATCCTAATAAAGCTGAGACCACATTTACAAGTCCCTATTACCACCAACACTAGTCATTCCCACATTCTCCTTAGTAGTCCTGTGGGTGACTCTTGTGTCCCCAGGAACACAGGAGGATACTACAGCCAGGCTTGCCACTTCCTCCTCCATCTGCCCTGCCAAGAACTGACAAGGACATTCAGATACACAAGTTCTATGGAAGACTAGCAAGCCTGGAAAATCTCAAACAAGTGTTTTGTATGATTCTGTTCCAAAAGCAGGACCCTGAGGACAGGAGAAATCCCCATGTTCAGGCATCTGGGGATGCTGAAGACATTCCCAAAAGCACATCTGTATGAGCTGAAAACTCTCTTACGTTTCTTCTTGATCACTTTCAGGTGGCTGAACTTAATGAGGGTGTCCAGGAACCAGAGGCATCGGGCTTTGTGGTCCCTGCTCTTCTCATCAGCAGGCAGGAACTTCAGCTCCTCCAAAACAAAGGAGCAGTGGCTGCAGGAGAGAGAGGGGGAGTTCAGCTCCACAAAGAGCACCTCACTGCTGTGCACACAACTCTCCTCCACGTTTCCCCAAGCAGGTGTTGCTCAGCCACGCCTGAACAACACATTCCCCTCTGCTCCAGGGCAGCTCTCCTGCCCCCAGTCAGGACAAGGCCCTCAGCAGCAGCTTTACCTCCTCTCCTCTGCCCTCTTGGCGATGTCCTCCGCGGTGGCGCTGGCCAGGGCAGCCGCCGGCACCCGCAGCGCCTCGTACTCAGCGGGGGACAGGACTGGCAGGGCGTTAAGGAACAGAACAGGCCTGGGCTCTCTCCTCCAGGAACAGCAGCTCTGTCCACACTCACTCTGGGAGGGGTGGGCAGGGCAGGGGAATGGAACCCAGCCAGGAACCAAGGCCTCTATAACAGACTGTGGCACTTCTGCATGGCCACTTCACCACTACTCCCAGTGGAACTGCTGCCAACAGGGAGAAAATCCTGCTCCCTGTTGGAAAGGGGCAGGCCCCAAAACCTCAACACAACATTATACTGGCCCCAGCTTTTGCACTGTGAGAGGTGAAGGCTGGGCTCACTCCAGACGGCCACATCGAGGTTTACAGGCGCAGGAAACCCCTGTGACCCAGAAAAGATACTGTCCTCAAACTTGTACACGTGCTCTGGCCTGTCTGCATCCTCGTGGCACGGCGGGAGGAAGGCAGAGACGGTTTGCACGTCATCCTGGGCCACATCCTGCATCAGAGCTGGGGAGGGAAACAGGAAGGGAGCGTTTGGATTGTGCAAAGCAAAATGCAGAGAACAAGAACACAACCCAAATTCTCCCTTTAGACGCAAGTCTACTCAATGGTAGCTCTTGTGTTAACACCAGTTTAGTCACAGTTGGAGTTTTAAACATTTAAAACTTCTATCAAGAACCTGCTGCTCCCTGAAATTTAGAAAAACCATTCAAGACTAGAGAAACATTTAGGAAAGCAGGGCACTAAGATGTCTGGCTGCTGCACGATGGGCAGAGCACAGTTTTGGCACCCTGAGTTCTAGTGGGCACCTACTTGACACAAAGCAGCTCTGGGATCACTGTCAGTATCCACCCTGGAACAAAAGGGATGAAAGCTAGTGTGTTCTACAGTTAACAGACACCTCTCTTGAGCAAGCCAATGACACTCAGGATCCCAGAAGTGCTCTGGAGGGCTCCTGTCAGCCCTCCTGCTCAGTATAGGGGGGTCCACAGCACAAAGTCAGGACGGCCCCAGCTCTGTCCTGCCACAGCCTGGAAATCCCCAGAGATGGTGAGCCTGCACCACGCTGTGACCTGTCCCCAGGGTGCAGTCTCTGAGGGAAGTCTGTGCCATTTTCCACAGCCATGCCACTGAGTGCAGACTAAGGACACTGCCTTTATCCCAGAGAACTCATTTCCAGGCACTCCCACAAAAGTTCCATTGATGTCACAGGGCCTTTCCCTCATTCAGGCAACTCCCACACCAAGTCCAGCAGGAGCAGAAGGAAGCAGTTCCCCCATGGGTGCCTTTCTCAGCTGTTAGACCAGCCGCTTCTTCAGTCACTCCACACTTGGCAAGGACAGACAGGAAAAGACCTTTCAGGTTACCACCCTTAAACCTCGAGACAGAATCCTCTCACCTGTAACTCCCTTTGCATCTATGATATTCGCTGCTGCTTTTGTCACAGCCGTGCTCACGATGTCGCTGCCCACAGCGTTCATGCGCCGAGAGCTCAGGGCTCGCTTCTGCTTGCTGGTGCCAAAGGCCTCGATGCACAAATCCACCTGTGCAGGAGACACACACTAAAGCACCCTGTCCACCCAGGAGAGCACAAGCCCCATCGTTCATTCCACAGACACATCCTCTAATAAAACTTCAAACACTTCATAGGGTAAAACCTGTGCGTGGATGTGCTGGTCTGCAAGGGGCAGGAAGTCCCTGGGATGGTGACTCTGCCTAAAATAGCCATGAAAACGCTGCCAAGTCAGGCACTAACTGTGCTGCCTCCAGGGCACAGCGACAGTGCTGCACCTGCAAAGGTTTACCCTGCAGGACACCAAACACCCCAGCCTCAAAGAAGCATCACCTGCCCCTGCTGGCTGGATACTCACAGCAGAAGGTGACATGGGGGTTCAACTTTACCTTCTCCCTGTAGGACTTTTTCTGATAATCCTTCGTGTCATCAGGTATCAAGTTATCTATAAAAGAACAGAAGTTAGTGTGCTTGGATGTGCAGCCAGGACAGGAATGCCTTCAGCGTGACGGACAGACTTGACACATCACATCTGGCTCAATTCCACAGGGCTTGGCCACTCAAAAGAACTCACCAAACATGAGAACCTACAACAAAAAAGGAGCCTACGGGTGCAACGGAGTGTGGCCAAACCCAGGTCCCCCTTCCCAGAGTGAAAAGCAGCTCCAAAATGACCTGATCCTTTAGGTTACCCTGCTGGGTCCTGTGACAAAAACTAGTTCTGCTGAAGGCAATTTGTTTTATTGCTCTCCAGGGATCCAGTCCTCCCTTGCAGAGTACACCCAGATAAAGCTGCACTCGAGCAGGGACACTCTGACTCCCACCCTTCACACTCACAACCCCCACTCTGAGCTCGCTGTGCTCCCCTCTCCTGCTCTTCCTCACAGCATGCAGGAGTGAAGGCACCCTCCTTCCTCCGTGCCGAGGGAACAAGGTAGGAATGAGGAGGACAGAGCAACTGAGAGCTGGAGGCACATACAGGCCTGGCGTGGGCTGGGGCAACAGCCAGCACGTCCCACCTGAGAGCAGGGGCTGCATGTTGAACATCTCGGCATTGTAGACCTCCATCTGCCCAGAGTCCTTGTCCAGCACACCCACAAAGTACCTGGGGAGAACAGGGTCAAGTGGTTGGTGAGAACCAGAGATGATTTAAACTGCGTTGTCTTCCCACCCCTGCCACTTTTCCTGCCTTGCACATTTGGAATGTCACGACAACCAAGTTACCTCCAAGGCACGCGTACGTACAAAAACATAACATCTCACTGCTCTAAGTAAATGTAGAAGTCTTAAGACAACTACATCAGGTGAAATGTAGATCCCATCACAGCTCTGAGCCAGGCCCAAGGAAGGAACCAGCCCCTCTCTACTCCCAGCTCCTTCCATACCTGCACAGGGAGTTGCACTTCATGACCCCGCTGCCGAAATTGTGCCCCACGTAGCAAAGGCGCTCCGTCTCCGAGACCTGGGAAACCAGGGTTAGGCTGTCATGTGGGAACAGAACACAACAGGCTTCATGACCTGCGGCAGGTCCCTGCTCTGCCTCCCCCACCCTGCAGCTCCACCAGCCACAGGACAGCCTAACCCTCCTCCTATCACAGCACCTCGAGATGAGAGCGATCTGCCTGCCCGAGCGTCCCGGGGCGGGCCTTACCAGGATCCTGCGGTGCCTCTTTCGGGGGTGCGTCGTGTCCCGGCTCCGGTACGCGGTGAAGCGCAGGGACTCGGGGCTCCGCAGCCTCCCGTTGGCGAACCGCACTGCGGGAAGGGAGCCCGTGAGCCCCGGCGAGGGCCGGCACCCCCTCGCACCCCGGCCCGCCCCGCTCACCGAGCGCCGCGGGCCGCTCCGCGCCGAGGTCCCCGCGGTAGCGCCAGGTGGCGGCGGCCATGGCGACGGCCGAGGGGGCTCCCGGAGCCGCCCCCGGCTCCGCTCCGGGCTCCGCTCCCCGCTCCCCGCTCCGGGCTCCGCTCCCGGTTCCGGGCTCCGCTCCCCGCTCCGGGCTCCGCTCCCCGCTCCGGGCTCCGCTCCCCGCTCCGGGCTCCGCTCCCGGTTCCGGGCTCCGCTCCCCGCTCCGGGCTCCGCTCCCGGTTCCGGGCTCCGCTCCCCGCTCCGGGCTCCGCTCCCGTTGCCGCTCCCGGCTCCGCCCGCTCCCCGGCTCCGCTCCCCGCGCCTGCTCCGGTTCCGCTCCCGGTTCCGGGCTCCGCTCCCCGCTCCGGGCTCCGCTCCCGCGCCGCCACCCCCTCCGGCAGCGCCAATAAGCTCATCCCCAATTGGTCGGGAGGGGAAGCCTCTGACGCTTCTAAATAAGGAGGCCATCGATTGGCTGTTGGGTGGGCGCGTGCGGCGCGGCGGGCGGAAGTGACGCGCCGGGGCGGGCGGGGCCGTGTCGGCGGGAGCGGGGCCGGGCCGGGCCGATCCCATCCCGGGCCCATCCCGATCCCATCCCGATCCCATCCCGATCCCCGGACCGGGCCCCTCCCGAACCCATCCCGAACCCACCCCCGCACAGCCCTGCCGCACGGCCCTGCCGCGGGACACCGCAGGTGAGCGGGAGGGCGGAGAGAGGGAGGGCGGCGGGGACGGGAACCGGGGACGGGAACCGGGGACGAGAACCGATGGCCCCCCCGCCGGGGCGGGACCGGCGGTCTCCGGGCTCCTCTGTGTGTCCCGCAGCGGCACGGAGCGGAGTCCCGGCTGTGTTAGCGGTGCTGAGGCAGCGCTGGGATGCGGGTGCCGCCCTGAGAGGGACACAGAACTTGTGTGGTCCAGGTGAGCACAAAAGGAAGGAAAAGGGGGAGGGAAGGGGGAAAAAAAGCGCTGCCCTCAGGAGAGCAGAGCGGCCCTCGTTATCCAGCAGCCATCGGGCGTCCTGGAGCTTTAAAAGGCTTTCAGTCAGTTAATCCCCCAGCCGAGTGTTTCGGGGGGTAACTGGTGAATGATTTCCGTGTCCTGACTCCGTCCGAGGACAAGCGATGGGATTGCTGGTGTGTCTGTGCAGGGCCATTTGGGTTCTGCTGTCCTTATGGGGCCCTTCCAGCTCAGAATATTCAGTGAGCACACAGGGTTTTCCCCTGCCTTGCTCCCCCGTGGCCCGGAGGAGGAGAAGGAGGAGGGGGGTGATCGTGCACTCCGGGGTCAGAAGGTAGGGCTGAGGAGGGACCATGGCTGGGGGGTCGCAGTGAGGGGCAGCACAGGTGTGTGTCACGGGGGTGCCACAGTGTCTGTGCCCCCTGAAGGGAGGCACCCGGGGCTGGGAGGAGTGCCGGGAAGCAGGAGGATGCCTGTGCCATAGGTGGTGTCTGTTCTGGAGGTGACCAGGAATGTCCGGGAGAAACCTGCTCTTTCTTGGGGAAGGTTTTTATGGCTGCTGTCCCAGCTCTGCTGTCACTGCCTGTTCCTGAGCTGGAGTCGCTGTGGGCTGGACGGCCTGTGGCACATTCCAGGTGCTGGGAGAACAGTGAGCAGCCCCCTGTTCTGCCCGGGGGTGGCAGTGCAGTTTGTCCCTGCTGGGGGTGACTCAGGGTGGGAAGGGGTCAGAACAGAGGCTCCTTCCCCGCCGGCTGGTCCAGCACAGCATGCCTGGGAGCACGGGGCGTTTGCTGAGGGAACAGCAGCACCCCCAGCTCCCGGCTGGGTCTGTGTTTGTGTGTCAGGCCTCAGGGAAGCTTCTCGCTAGGTCTGTCCCTTCAGGCACCGAGGTTCAGCTCTGGGGGGTGGTGCTGTGTGGGGTGTGAATCGAACAGTTACTTGTGGCGCATTGGCCCTGTGGATTCCAGGAATTCCCGTGGGCTTGGCACCCTGGGCGTCAAATGCATTTAAGTACAGATTGTTGGGCTTCAGGTGCAAGTCATAAACTGGTCTTTCCTCACCAGGTCAGTGAAGGACAAGTGCCTTGGCCTGAAGTTTTCTGTAGCATATTTGTAGGTGAGATTTCTCTGACGGGTGCAGCTGAGACAGCTCTTGTCGATGGTTTCGGTGACACAAAACTGATTACTTGGCAAACTCCTTAGAAGCCTCTTTAGGGGGAACTGAAGGTTGTATTTAGTTTTTGTTTGCTGTTTTGGCTGTGTGTTTGACCTCCCCACAGTGGGTCAGGGCTGCAGTGTAATCATCTGTGCCAGTCATCTATTTCCGGGGAATGGAAACCCGGAGAGGAAACTGTGGCCATTAAATGTAGTAGAGATTGTGCTGATAAAACCTGAATTCCTGTGGAAAAACCTGCACTGCCCTTCTGCCACATGATTGTGTCAACATATGTCCCTTGCCTTATAGGGGATTTTGGGTCGTGTAGGAGAATAAAGGAATTAGCCATGACTCTCTGAGTTCTTTCAGAATCTAGTTCCAGACACCAACTTCAACAAGAAATGTGGGAATCCAGTACCTGTAGTTCTGTGGCACAGGCCCTAGCCCAGGGACAGGCAGGATGGTGGCTTTCCAGTCAGGGTTTTATAGATCTTTTTCAGTACTTGGCCTTAAACTTTTCTTGGCTCTGACTATTTGTTTTTATAGTAAAACTACTTGTAGCTCGACAGTTTGGTGTGCTGTGTGTTCACTTGTAGTCCTTTGTTTGGCTGTAGAACTGTGCAGTTCCCTCTCCTGTGGCAACAAGGTCTCTGCATCACCCTGGAGGCTGTGTGTGTTTGTTCTGGCCCGAGAGCTCCAGCCTTTCTGTGTAGTGAGAGTTAGCAAGCCAAAGCCATGTTACTGGAAACAACACTGCAGTCTGTCTTGTTTCAGGTGCACAAAGGATGCAGCCACTTTTGGTGCCTGTAAGCAGGACTCCCTCGGAATTTTGAAATCCCAAATGATCGGTCGAAACAACGACTCTTCCCTGTTTCTTCTGTTCCAAATGCGTGTTGCTCCCTGGGCAGAAGTGCTTGGACCATCCCTTTAACCCACATTCCTTCCTGGAGTCCAGCTTCATTCCTTTTGCTCTGCTTGAAAATGTTGTCTTATTTTTACTCCTGAACACTCATTGGCAGTGTAAGATAAATGCATTCATGTATTATTTGTGTTCCTGTTTCTTATTTAGAAAAGCAGCAAACACGTGTGCTTGAAAATGGACTTTTTCTGAATTGTCAGACTCACATTTGATCCCTCCTCGAAAGCAAAATTCTCTCTGTGTGACCTTTTATTTCGGCTGCTTTATGGTCTCCATATGTCCAGTGGTACTGTGGTGTTGCTGTTGGAAAATAAATGTGAGGACAGGAATGTGTGTGTTTGCCTTGGACATGCAGCCTTTCTGCTCCCCAAATCTTACACTTAATTGTTTTTCAAAAGTAGAGGTATTGCCAAAAATCACCTCTTCAGTCTTAAGATGAGTCTGCTAAGATGTGACTTCGGTTCTATTAACGGACAGTTAAGAAAAAGCCACCCCTCAGTCTGTCTGATTGTCTCCTTGAGCAGCTCCTATTTTTGTTATACCAAATAAAAATTTGGTTTTTGCTCAAATTTTTGTTATACCAAAAACTTCCCATCACTTTCCTCTCAGCCCTGTGAGGTGAGGATTAAAGTCCAGGAGTGGGAGGTCACTTAATTGTGTGAGCAGTTTATCAAAGGGTGCAGCAGGTTATTTGCAATCAGATCATTTTACAAACCAGGGTTCAGTGTTTTACTACTGAGTTGTTTTAGTTTGGATGGGAGCTAATGGGGGCGAGATGATCTGTGTTGTTTGGTTTGCAGCACCGTGACATGGCTGGTGCTGAGGTCAGCTCTGTGGCAGAACCTGGATTTTCTTCCTTCTCCTTTTGCTTCTCCTTCTCCAGACTGCCAGCTTTGATCTTGTACTCATGTGGTGTGGCAAATTCAGATCAGTTACTGTTTGTCTGTCATGCAGCTGTCATCTTTCCTCTTTAAACCCAAGTTCACTGCAGCCTGACTGTGACCTTCAACCATGGAATCACAGACTGGTTTCAGTTGAAAGGGACCTTAAAGCTCATCTCTGTCCCACTATCCCAGGTTGCTCCAAGCCCAGTCCAACCTGGCCTTGAATACTTCCAGAGATGGGGCAGTCACAGCTTCTGTGGGCAAGCCGTGCCAGGGCTTCACCACTCTTACAGGGAAGAATTTCTTCCTAATATCTAATCTAAGCCTGCTCTCTTTCAATTTGATCCCATTCCCCCTTGTCCTGTCACTCCAGGCCCTTGTAAATAGTCTTGCCCCATCTCTTGTAGGCCCCTTCAGCTACTGGAAGGCCCAGTTAGGTCACCCTGAAACCTTTCTTCTCCAGGCTGAACAATTCCAATTCACTCATCCTTTCCTTGCAGGAGAGGTACTCCATTCCTCTGATCAACTTGGTGGCCCCTATAATGGTTTCTTCTGTTTTGTAGGATCATGGATTTCCCAGGACACTTTGAGCAAGTCTTCCAACAGCTCAATTACCAGAGGCTCCATGGCCAGCTCTGTGACTGTGTCATTGTGGTGGGGAACAGGCACTTCAAAGCCCACTGCTCCGTGCTGGCCGCGTGCAGCACCCGCTTCCAAGCACTCTTCTTGGTGGCTGAGGGGGACCAGACCATGAACATGATCCAGCTGGACAGTGAAGTGGTGACAGCCGAGGCCATGAACACTATGTACATGTCCACGCTTATGCTCAAGGAGAGCAATGTGATGGATGTGCTGCTGGCTGCATCCCACCTGCACCTCAACTCTGTGGTGAAGGCCTGCAAGGACTACCTGACCACACGGACACTACCGCTGTCGCCGCCGAGCGAGCGCGCGCAGGAGCAGAGCGCGCGCCTGCAGCGCTCCTTCATGCTGCAGCAGCTGGGGCTCAGCATCGTCAGCTCGGCGCTGGGCTCCTCGCAGGGCACCGAGGAGCCGCCCGGCCCCGTGCGGGGCGGGCTGGAGCAGCGCGCCGCCTTCCCCATGCGCCGCCTGCACAAGCGCAAGCCGCCCTCCGAGGAGCGCGCCCGGCCGCGCGTCCGGCCCGCCATGGAGGAGCCCGGCGCCGACGGGGCCGCCGAGGGCGGCCAGCCCGTCCACTCGCGCGAGGAGTTCTTCTCTCCGGACTCGCTGAAGATCGTGGACAACTCCAAGGCCGACGCTGTTGCTGATAACCAGGAGGACAACACGATCATGTTTGACCAGTCTTTTGGTGCTCAGGAGGATGCTCAGGTGCCCAGCCAGTCAGACAACGGTGGGGCAAATATTTCCCAGATGTCCATGGCATCCCAGGCCACGCAAGTGGAGACCAGCTTTGACCAGGAGGCTGCTGCCGAAAAGAGCAACTTCCCATGTGAGAATCCGGAGGTCAGCCTGAACGAGAAGGAGCACATGAGGGTGGTGGTGAAGTCTGAGCCCCTGAGCTCCCCAGAGCCCCAGGATGAGGTGAGCGATGTCACCTCCCAGGCAGAGGGCAGTGAGTCTGTGGAGGTGGAAGGAGGAGTGGTGAGTGCAGAGAAGATCGAGCTGAGTCCTGAGAGCAGCGACCGCAGCTTCTCTGACCCACAGTCCAGCACCGACAGGGTGGGAGACATCCACATCATGGAGGTGTCCAACAACCTGGAACACAAGTCGTCTTTCAGCATTTCAAATTTTCTGAATAAAAGCAGAGGCAGTGGCTTTGGAGCCAGCCAAAACAGCGACGACAACATTCCCAACACCACCAGTGACTGCAGGATGGACAGCGACACCTCTTACCTGATGAGCCCGGAGTCGGGGCCTGCTGGTGGCCACTCGTCCACCACTGTCTCCCACGTGGAGAACCCATTCAGCGAGCCCGCAGACTCCCACTTTGTGAGGCCCATGCAGGATGTGATGGGTCTGCCCTGCGTGCAGACCTCGGGGTACCGGGCAGCGGAGCAGTTTGGCATGGACTTCCCACGCTCAGGCCTGGGCTTGCACTCGCTGTCCCGGGCCATGATGGGCTCGGTGAGAGGCGGAGCCGGTGGCTTTCCTGGCTACCGCCGCATTGCCCCCAAAATGCCCGTGGTGACCTCTGTGCGGGGCTCCCAGCTGCAGGAGAGCTCGTCCGGGTCCCAGCTGCTGATGAACGGGAGCACCTCCTTCGAGAGCGGGCACCTGTCGCAGCCCGGCCCCCCGCAGCTCACCAGGGCGTCCGCCGACGTGCTGTCCAAGTGCAAGAAGGCTCTGTCGGAGCACAACGTGCTGGTGGTGGAGGGGGCACGCAAGTACGCCTGCAAGATCTGCTGCAAGACCTTCCTGACGCTCACGGACTGCAAGAAGCACATCCGCGTGCACACGGGGGAGAAGCCCTACGCCTGCCTCAAGTGCGGGAAGCGCTTCAGCCAGTCCAGCCACCTCTACAAACACTCCAAGACCACCTGCCTCAGGTGGCAGAGCAGCAACCTGCCCAGCAGTTTGCTCTAGGGCGCTGCCCGGGCTGCGGCGGCGGGGCCGACAGACACTGGCGTGCGGTGGTGCCACACACACAGAGCTTGGCTCTGCCTTTGGGGATATCCGGTACTACCTCGCGGGGTGTCGTGGGCTCGGCCGCCCGCCGCGAGCCGTGCAGCGGCCATGGGGATGTGACCCCCACAGCCAAGCACTCCCTTTGCAGGGCAGAGGGGTGACAGCGTGGGGGGCTTGTGAAATAGCACGTTTAGAGAACGAGAAACTGAAGTGCAAATTTCCCTTTTTTTGTGTGTTTGTTTTTTTTTTCTCTAAAGCATTTTGTAACAGTGAAAGCATTTAAATAATTACTGTAACGAGTTGCTGCATTATGTGTGGACAGTAGTGCAGACCACTTACCTTTAAAAGAGAGAAACACGTTTGGCTGCACCTGTCTGACATAATGCTTTCAAATACGCTTATTATAACAATAGTTCTAGGATTATGAATGTATGTTTGGCTGTTTTGTAGTAAAGGACACTGTGTAATCAAGGTGCTTAAATTAAATCCCAGACAAGTAACTTTTGGACTGCCAGGTGTACATATATCTTTAATACAGCAAGATCTGGATGTTTGGCTGACTTTTTGTTTTTTTCCCGTAGAAACACGTATTAAGTGATAAGTGAAGTACTGTCTCTTGTTTGTGCTATTCCTAGCAGTATTTTAACCGGTTTGTATCTCCTGTTACAGTTCTATATAGGCAGAAGTCTGAACAGAGCTTGTCTTTGTTGTTTTGAAGGAGGGAGGTAGTTTGTGATGGCTTTTTTAGCCGTGTAAGACAGTCTCCCTCTGTTTCCAGATGCCGACAGTCCATCTGGTCCCCGTTACTGTGTGAGCATGTTGTCCTTTTCTCTTATCTCCAGCCTTTACTTTCCTCCTCTGCACACTTACTGACTTCCCTTCACAGTTGTGGGTTGTTCCTTGGATTGAACTGTCAGGAACAATCCTCATTTTCCATATCTCATAGAATCATAGAATATCCTGAGCTGGAAGGGACCCATCAGTATCACTGAGTCCTGCTCCCGGCCCTGCACAGGACACCCCAAGAATCCCACCACGTGCCTGAGACTGTTGTCCAAACACTTCTTGAACTCAGACAGCCTTGTGGGGCTGTCACCACTGCCCTGGGGAGCCTGTTCAGTGCCCAACCACCCTCCAGGGGAAGAACCTTTCTCTGATTTCCAGCCTAACCCTCCCCTGACATAGCTCCTGAGTCCTGTCACTAGTCCTGAGAGTGAATAGATCAGTGCTGCCCCTCTGGAGGATGTTGAAGACCCCAATGACATCTGACATCAGTCTCCCTCAGGCTGAGCAAACCAAGTGCCCTCAGCTGTTCCTCGTAAGGCTTCCACTCCAAACTCTTCCACATCCTCATGGCCTCATTTGGATGCTCTGTAGTGGCTTCATGTTGTTTTTATATTGTGGTGCCCCAAACTGCCCCAATACTGAGGTGAGGCCACCCCAGGTCAGAGCAGAGCAGGACAATCCCCTCCCTGGCCCGGCCAGCGATGCTGGGCATGATACCCCCCCAGGATACAGTTGGCCCTCCTGGCTGCCAGGGCACTGCTGACATATATATTTATGTCTCTCTGTAAAATGTCATTGTCAAATACAGGCCTTCCACTTAAACTAGTGTCATAAAAGTACTTTTCCACATAAACTAAAAGAAAACTAGTTTAAGTTTAATTTTAAAAAATAGCACTGTACCCTTTGGGTAGTGGAAATTTGTCATTTGCCATGTGAGGTGTGTAAATCTCATTTTAATTTCCTATTCTTTGATGCCATTGTAACTTAATACTGCCTGCAGGCTCCTTTTGCCACAGGTGCACACGAGCTGGTGGTCAGCATCTTTAGCTTTTTAAATAAACTTTTGGAGCACTTCTGCTGATGATGAATGCTGCTCAGGTGTGCAGGAGCTGGATCAGGTTGGAGACAGAGGATTCCCTGGACCTGTCAGCATGTCATTTGCACTTGAGCATCTGAAGTAAACAGGAACATGGAAATACAGGGGATGGTTAGATTAATTCCTTTAAAATGTTAAGACTTTGCTATAGGGTTTACTTAATGGTCATATTTCTGGCTCTTGATTTTTTTTAAGCATTAAAAAAATGCAGTTTTTTAAAGCATTGGGATATGCCATGTTTTGTTAGATAATAATTTCAGTATTGGGGACTAACAGCATTGAGCTGAATAAACACTCACCCAAGCATCAATAAAATGCAGTATTTTGTACTTTAATATCTTCTTGTGTTTCTTGCATTTCTGCTGTTTTCATTTTTAGAAACAAGGTGTGGGATTTTTTGGCGTCCCATCCAAATGTCTTGATTTCTTATAATGCATGGGAATAAAGCATCTGTGTGAGCAAGTTGAGTAATTAAGAACTAATATAAGCAGATAAACACTTAACCGGACTTTTAAACTGGTTTTTTATAAAAATTTTAACATGGAATGACAGTGCAGGAGGACTTCTGTCTTCTTTCTCTGAGAAAAAGTTTGACTTGGAGTGTTTTTGGAAGCGGCACCTTTAAATTTTGTTGTCCATTGACACCCTGTGCCTGGAGCCCATGGCTGCAGAGCTGCTTCCCAAATGAAGCAATAAATTCCTGGGAATGGCATGAATAAACACCTGGTACCGTGAGCTGTTCCCTCTCTGTGCAAAGAGTGTCTCACCTTACAGCCTGGAGAGTGTATTGCCCCTGTTTCCACTCAGAAGCACAGTTGGGTCTTGTGTGGAGGGTTCAGTGTGTCAGTACGCTGAAACACCCTGAAATAAACCCTGCATTTTTGTGCTTCTGTGTCTGACTGGATTCACTGATATGTTGCTCTTCACACCAGCCTATACAGAAATACTCCTGGTTCTAAAAGTGATTATAAAAGCCTGTACTTGGTAATAATTTTGTCCCCGGTAGAGTTCTTCATAAGAACTTCTTAGTATGTTTTTACTGAAATAATATCTACAGAGCATCCGTCAAGTTCATGATCCATGGTCACTGCTACTCTCTGAATTCCTTGTGGGAGGATGATGCAGGTGGAGGAGGTGCTTGTTTCGAAGGAGTTGAGATGCACACCTGAGATGTGCTCCAGTCACTCTGGCAGCTGATTTACCAGCCTGTGTCTATTTCTTAACATACCTGGGGAATCTGACACATCTGCTTGGACACCAGGTTATTCCCATTCACTGCTTCTCGCATCACCGGGGGTCACAGTAACCTCTCGGGTATTTGGTCAACACTTCTCAGCATCACAGTAACATCACCACCAGCAGCATCTTCAGTGTCAACACTCAAATTTTGGAGACAGTAAACTCCCCTGCTGGACTCATGCCCTGGGTTTTCACACCAAAGTAAATCCTAATTTCTTTTGGGTCAGTTGGAAACTCCCCCAGCCAGCTGGGATGCTCGACTCCCTCCCTTGCCACAGCCACGAGCCTTCCCCGGTCAGCCTAGGTTAGAAACCTTCAAAACTCACTCTAGTGAGTGAGAATCCCAGCATGGCAATCAGCTGGGATTGTGAATCAAAACTTACTGTTAAATGTGTCAGAACCCCTCTGAGGTGTGGGGCAGAGCAACTTCCAGCAGCCATTACTGCTGTCAGAGAGTGCTTTATATATAAACATCCAGAGAAATTCCAGCAGAGTCCAGCATGAGGGACACTTGTCATGGGACAGGAAGCACACAGTGTACTGGGTGAGCTTTAATTCCCATCACAGGCTCTGTGTTGTGTTCTGGCTCCCTCCCTGCACCAGGTTTAGGGTCCCACCAGCTGCTGCCCCCCACCCTGGGACACTTCCCTTATGCCCATTGCAGGCCCCTCTCTTCTTCCCTCCCTCCCTTTCCCTATTCCTTCCGTTATGCTGCTGTCCCCACAAAGTGAGTTTTCTGGCTGTCCCCTGCCAGGGAGAAAGCCTGGGGGGAAAGCACAGGAGGCAGGTCCTGGGCCAGAGGGATGGGAAACCTGTACCAACCCACCTTGGAGGGGTGGATTAGTTGCTGGAGCCACCATTCAACCTGGAAGTGCCAAAGGGGTTTGTGGTCCTCCTGTGTGGGACTGGCCACCAAGGGGAAGTGTGATGGAGTTGGAAGAGGAGGAGGAGGAGGAGAAGGAGGAGGCAGAGGTCTCCTCTGCACTAATGAGTCACTGCACATCTGGGAAAAACAACGAGTTGCAGCTGGAACCTGCAGGGGTTGCAGGACCTCCCAGTGAATTTCAGTTTGCCACCCACTTTGGAGCCATGCCTAGAATTTTTGGTGGATACAAAAGGCAGAGGTGGAGGTGCCAGGTGAGCTGCATGAGCCTGTGTTTTGCCTTTCTTTAGGCACTTCAGGAAGAGGATTGTGCTGTGGCACTGATTTCACAGGACCAGTTAACGTGTGGGCTGGCAGCAGCTCCTGTGGCAGCAGCAGCTGTGCTGACAGGGCTGCTACCTCTCTTCCCTGCCTGGCTACAAGCTCAGGTATGGCACTGTTGGCCTCTCACTGTGACCAGCAACCAGGTTTTGAGGAGAGGTGCTGCCACAGCAGCTCCCTCGTGGTACCGCCCACACCAGTGAGCAGAATAGAGAGCAGTTCCAACGTGTCGAGTGTTCCCCAAATCAGATCCAAACCCCAATCCATGGCCTACTGGGACCCACAGCCCCCTCAGTGTGCTCTCCCACGTGCCCAGGGCACCCTGTTCTCAAATGACACTAGCACCACACATTCCCTGCTGCTCTTTAATGGCTCCTGGCTGCCGCAGAGACGAGGGGCCAGGCTGGCCCGTCCTGCCGCACCACAGGGGCTGTCACAGCTTGAGCTCGTGGGGCATGGGCTCCCCCCGCAGCCCGGCCAGCAGGTTGTTGGCTGCCAGTACTGCCATGGTGTTCCTCGTGGCGTACGTAGCGCTCCCGATGTGTGGCAGGATCACTGCGGGGACAGGAGGGACACCCATCACCTTCGCGGACCGGTGTACAATACACATGCATTGTTATTTACATATTAATAAACAATTACTATTACTCTTATAATTTACATATTTAATTAATACGTGTTAATTTTGTGCTGCTTGGTGTTGTTCCAGAGCTCTCAAATCTCCCAAGTCCTGCAAATTTTTCAAGAAAAGTCTCTGCTTCTATCCCTCCCCACACTGTCTACTTTGGGAACCAAAGAAAACAAACAAAAAATGAGTTTTAGCAAAAAGATAAATGAAAAAAAAAAAACCCAGCTACAGATTCGTATTTCATAAGCAGACACTCAGTCATGGGTGGTTCCAAGTTTTCATGGATGTCCCTATGGTTTCTTTTTGGAACAGAATTTCCCTACTCCAGGAACGTCCTCCCTGGAAAGAAGACATCCTGCACAAGAACAGCCAAGCAAGCCCCCTCTTAGCCATCCTTCGTCACCTGACTCATCCTCCTCCAGAGAAGACAGGTGTCAGTCCTGCACCTGCCCTTCCCACCTGCTTGGTACTACCCAGGTAACAGGCTGCCTGGGGTTGTGACAGGTTGGCAGGTTAGCCAGCCTGGCAGCGCTCTCAAGGCTGAGGCTCCTCTGGGCAGACTCAGAGACCCACTTTAGCCATCCCAGAAGCTTTTCAGGCAGAGTATATGCCCAGGAGCTTACAGAATACCTGAGCTGGGCAGAGCCTGAGCTGTGATTTGGTTTCGTATTGAGGCACGTGCTGGTATTGGACCCTCCATGAATTGACACACTGAACAGAGACCCACCAGGAAGGTGCTAAACCTGAGCTGGTATGGGTGGCTTTCTGGAGAATTAAAACAGCTCCCACACTTGTTTGACATTGCATTGATGAGTTCTTACCCCACAGCAGACCCCCACATTGTACAGTAGCTCCCTACACCCCAATTAAATATACCTGACCTGTCGGTCCTTCCATGCTTCCCTGGCACCAGAGGGGTCACAGGGACCAGGGATCCCTGCCAGTGGCCCCCAAGGAGTGTGGGCAGCCTGGCAGAGCCGGGCTCTGGCTGCCCTGCTGGGCACTTACCACAGTTCTTGAGCGAGAGCAGGGGGTGGTCAGTGGGCAGTGGCTCTGGTGTCGTGACATCCAGGCCGGCAGCAGCGATCCAGCCCTGGGACAGCGCTTCGTACAGGTCCTCCTGGTTCACCACAGTCCCCCTGGTGAACGCAAGGAGAGAGGCTGGCACCACTCCAAGGCTCCCACAGGCTCCCAGGGCCACAGCCCACTGGGGACAGCCCAGGTGGTGTCAGCAGGCCCCCAGGGCTGCCTGATGGAGCTCAGACCCGCTCTGGGTGTGTATGAACCTCCCAGCACAGTGAGCTGTTCCCACTCCAGCTGCCTGCAGTGGGGAAGAGCTGCGTGCTCCCTGAATAACTTATCTTGCCTTTGGACGGATCACAGGGGACCTTGGGAAAACAATTCCAGTGTGTGCAGCCATTAAGACTGTACATGCTGTCTGACCCACAGCAGATCCTCTGCATCCACAGCCCGGCAAGGTGACAGCCATGCTCCCAGGCAGGGGACTGGGCTGCCATACCTGCTTGTGTTGACAAACACAGAAGTCTTCTTCATCCTGCTGAAGAAGTCCTTGTTGCACATTCCCTGGGTGGCTGGCGTCAGGGCACAGGTTACCACCACAAAGTCTGACTCCTCGGCCAGCCTCGTTAGTGGGACTGAGGGAAGGAACACAGGAATGTCCCATTGCAGCTGACACCTGCCCTCAGCAAAGCTCCATGGGCAGCTGCAGCCTGACCCCTTCTGCCGTCAGGACACCTTGGTGCTCAGCCCCTGGGGACAGTCCTCAGATCCTTCCCTTCCTCCCAGGAGCAGCTGCCACCTTCCCTCCCTGTCCACTGCGTCCCTCTTCCTTGTGGGAATGAAACTAATCACCGATGGATGGATGCAGAGAAGGGCAACAGTGGCAGAACAGCTGCAGCCCATGGTTCTGGCAGGGGTCTGATGAGCCTCTGCATGTCTAGTCTTTGCCTGGCCCAGTGAAGGCAGGTGCCTCCCTGTCACCCCCCACCACCTTGTGGGGCCTGTCTAGGACTTGGTATTTCCTCCCTCGCTGCCCCCTCACACTGGGCACCCCAAGGAGCCCCCCAAAACTCCCAGCTGGTGCCCTCCCTCTGCCGCATGGAGCTGTCCCAGCCACGGTGCTCTGTGACTGCCAACCAAAGCTGGCCCTGACCCAGTGCTGTCCTTACCAAACTCAGCCCCAAACTCTGCTGCACTTTCTGGTTTTGGGCCACTGCCAGTGTACAGAAACTTCTTGACTCCAA